TTGGCGAATTCTGTGAATCAAGAACCATCAACGGAACCCTATCAAGCGGTGATCTCCAAAAGAATTGTGGGTGACCTGGATAACAACTCCGCCCTGACCAAGATATTACCCACGCAATTGTAACCCATGTTTATTTAACAAACATGATGCGTTGTTTTGCCTTCGCCTCTGATTTGTTCGGGTTGGGTATTTGGTTAAGGAGGCCCCAGTTAAGTCGTGCAATTTCGACTTTAGCAAATGACATTGTCTACAAGATGTCCTACTTTTCGTCAAGACATATTTAACAAAAGGTCCCCTACACTACACCCATCTTCTCGAGTGTTCATTTTATGGGCATTTGTCGACACCCTCCACCGTCTGCTGCACCAATGGAGCACTGGTCTAGGTAAGCACTAAGGAAGGTGAACGCAGAGAGAAATTTATACTTATATATCTCGTAGACCATAAGGACACAAAAACAAAGCTCCGAGGTGTACGTTCTCAAGTTTGGAAATGCTTACTCGGCGGGAGGTGTGACGGCCATAGGCCATTATCTTACCGGTTTGCCAGAGACTTTACCTCTTCTCTCATTAAATAATAAACAAATTTAGCATGTTTTAACTTAGCATGCATAGTCCTTTTCATTAGCTTACAGAATTTTTCATACAAATCGAATGGGAACTGTGCGCAAAGTGTACTCTAATTGGATTGGAGTAAATTACTAAAGCATAGTAGTGTTTAAATTGAGCATACACAACTAAAAATGACTCACTTGATTTTACCTTAAGCATATCTCGTCGACATGCAACTTAATCACTTGTCAGCCTAAAAAATAGTTTGGTAGCTGAATGTGAAGTGTTGTGCTGATGTTAAAACAGTAACATTGCAATAATCATAACAATAATAATAGTAGTAAAAGTATCCTTTGCTATTTAAGTACTTTTTTTTGCAAAACGGGTACAAAATACACACTTCGTATAAGCACATATGTGGAGCTCACATCATGAAGCAAGTAGCAGTAAAATAAATAGTTATGCCTTTTCCAATTTGTGCTACAAAATATCAAAGTGCGGTATCGTATCTAGGATTATTTATCTGGTCTGCACCTGATTTTCAGTGTAACTTAAGTGTACTTTTAGTCAATGTGCTCAAATGTAATAATGTGCATTGTGTGTTGAAGCGCATTTGGTTGTAGTATTTGTGTATAGTGCATCAGATTGGACCTGTTTTATGCATTTATGTAATTACTGAGTAAAGGGCTGCAATTATAGCTATAGTCGCTCCAAAAAACGCAAATGTTTCTCTTACAATCACATTGCCGTAGCAATTGCTTGGTTCCACGACCTTCAAAAGATAGACATTATTGCTTGAGAGACTCACACGCCTCAGCGTCATACCAATTCAATTTAAAGAAAGCGCCAGAATCACCAACTCTCTGTTTGAAGAGGGGACAGAATTGATGAGTTATGCAAGTGACAAATGGGCAGAATTTTGTTGTGTCTCATCGAAACCGAATTTCTTGTTGGATGCTACGAAAGGAATTGCAACACTAAAATAATTTGATATTTAGAACAAAAGGCATCAATTAAATACATGGATTTTGCATAGCAAGTAGATGTAAATGTCACAGAATGATGCGAGTTTAGAGAATGTGAGGCATAGTATGCACAGCAGCACCATCCACTTCGACGCGTATCACCTATCTCTGGCTCATCTGTCACCTCATCCATCCAGAGGGAACAGGTAACCAAAACTGATGCATACTGACGTGTCATGAACTGGTGATGGTGGTCTTTAATGTACTGGAGCTTAGACGGGGTAACAGGGAGGCCATATGTTGCTTGACACGAGGTCGCAGTGTTAGCAACTGGGCGCAGATGACATAATATGACCATGACATGCACATTACATGCATTACGTGCACTGCATTGGTGTATTTACATTGCATTTCATATCTACGCAGATTTGTAACCCTCTCATTATCTGCCTATCTTACACGAATAGTTGTCCGATTTTTTCTACTCGGAGGCGGGTCATGGCAAATTTTTGGTCAACAATGGCAGTAGAATCTGCCCTTTCCTGGATGTTCAATGAGTCTATACACTACAGGTAAATCACCTTATTCACACTTCTCCGGGATCTGCCGTGGGACGAGACTGAGGTGTCTGTGGCGAATCTAGAACGAGAAGACAATAAATAGGGTGTCTGAAAACGCATTTTTCTTGTGCCAATAGGCCCTTATTAACGAAACAGTAAAAATGTGAGGCAGCTTTCAATGCAACCTCTGCGTGAGTAAACTTATCATGTTTTGACTGTTGCTTTTAAAAATGGGTCATTCAATCCTCCTACTTTCTTTGCTTATCGATGATCTTGGCATGGTACGTCATTAGGGTAGTCTACCTTGAGGAAAATTATCAGTAAAAAGCAGTGTACAAATTTAAAAGTCCGACGAATTTTCCGAATTTGCATCACCTTCACTAAGAAAGCTTTAAACAATTGGGCAGCACTGACTCTCCGCCCTTAACTACTTGAATTTGAGCACTGACAGTTAAGGTCTTTATTATTCTTTAAGCATGTTTGACCACAAGATGTAATACGTAATGCTATCTGGTCAGCACTTGCCCAATGTCAAAAAAGCCATTAAAAAAGAGTTCAGAGGCAAAATTCTACAACACAGTTAGTTGTTCGGCATGTGTGACCTATGCGGTTTTTTATGCAAATGTGATTTGTGGAGTACCGAGGTTGTGACAATTTTATTAAGAATAATCAGAACAGGTTCACTGATATCGCGTCATCTCAAACTGAGATAATTTGTCAGAATCATGATTATTCACTGGTTAGGGGACAGAGGAGAAGGAAATGGCCTGATCTCGTAACACGTCAATATAACTTCCGACTGACTAAAGACTTATAGCTTTACAAAATTTATTGGCAGTAGACCTGGATGTCACTGTCATGAGGACAAGTTCGGGGGCAAATAAAGAGATGGATTAGAGTTCTAGAACTAAGCATCAGCGCCTGCGCTCTGTTCTGGAAGTTCTAGATTATCCCAGTTTTACTATGTCTGTATATCTGGTACAGCTGTTTTCAACAAAAGCGTTGCTTAAAGGTCATACATAATACTTTATAAAACGGTATAAAAATCTTTATGCATTTTTATTAAATTTTTTTTGATGACAACAGTGCCACGAGAAGCGGTTATTCCTATTTTGATCACGCTATCATGAGCGTGATTAATAACTTGCGACCCCAAAATTGATAAGTCCATGTAATGAGGGATTGACTAAAGCACCTTGTTCCGATCAACGCTCTACCAATCTATGAGTAATTCCCTTCCAAAATTTGGAATTTCACCTCCTGTCACGATTACAGAAATCCGCGTAGTCAGTAGACCTGTTAAACACAGTGTCCGGCTTCCAGCATCGACGAAATGAGCTTGTTGGTGCCGATTATCGGGGCAACAATATGTGACTTCTCCACCTGCCTGGAGTGCCAACATTGCGTTTGTAATGAGAGAAGGCGAGATGGAAGAGGAGGCAGTGAGTGGAAACGGGTGTGGATACATCCATCCCCCTGATAGACACGACCACTCTGCTCTCCACCACCACGCTTAATTTTCTCTTTGCCTCATCTCCCGATGTGACTCAACCATTTGCCATGATCTGCAAGCACACTTTTCTCTTCCACTGTTGCTTTGATCTTATTTCTCACCTCATTATCGTGTCTTGAGGCGAATGAAGACTTGCAGGACTACCTGAACCACTGTGTCGCCTAGATGACGAACCTCTACGTTGCAGTGATATCAAAGTTGGAGAGCCTGTTTGCCACTGCCCAAACATCCAATGGTGCTAATAGGTTGCCTTTTGGAAGTTTACGTCCACCTGTCGCTCGAATGAGGAGCAGCAGCCACGGGAGTGAATGTCATTGTTGGTGAGCAATTCATTTCTACCCCAGTTCATTCATTAATTGCTCATTACAGGCGGCGTACGTTCAGAAGCAAACCCACTTGATTCAACATGTTGTATGGGTTGCGGCTTCAGTGCATTATCATTTCCACCCTCACCTGTCCATTCAATTCATGGCTGCTCCACCGCACTGTCTTTTACTCTCACACTGACCGAAATCCCTTCACCCAGGAGTCCAAAGAAACCATAGAGGAGGTCTCGGAAGAAGTCTTTGCTGTTTTCGCAGTTAGAAACCAATTATTTTTTCCCATACCTCATGTCATATAGAATGATTGCATGACCTAATAATGATATTCTTTCAATCAAGGTCCTCTTTTCTAGCTCCTATATGGGCGGCATCATGGAAGAGCTTACTTCACCAGCATTTGGAATTTGGATGGATGGGTAAGTAGCGAGTGTGTGGGATATGGCACTAGACCACTTTCATTAGTTTCATCACGCCGTCAGATTACCACTTTTCATGCAAATTCACTAGAATGTGGGTCACCCAAGAGGATACAATGAGTAACTGCGGAGGGTGTTGACTTCTCTGCCCTATATATGGGGAAATCCAGTAGATATTTACTAGCCTAGAGGCCTCTCCTTTCATTTCAATCACTCATATGTCCCACCTTACCTTGAGTTAAGGCACCACATACCTTGACAGATTTACCATGTTATCCCTCATAAAAGAAATCTTTGCCATCAAGAGAGCTCTTAACTCAAGTCTATCAGTTCACCACCACAGATTTTACACCTCCTTAGCCCTATGGTGTGAGGTTCGTCCGCGCCTTAGCTACCCTTCCTTTATCCTCCTGTTCTTCGCCATGTCACTCTTCCATGTTCAACATCTCTAAATTCCATATGGTCTTCACCCGGATTACCAAGTCGTGGGCAAAACGTATGAGCCTGAAACCCACAAAAGTCAAACTGTAACCGGATATTCACATCTGATTGCATAAGTACGACTTTGTGGGAGAAAAATCACCTGTAAGGGCTAATACAACCTTACACGGTTCTTATTCACTGCACACAGCCCATTTGTTCATATTAATT